GTGCGTGCGTGTGTGCGTGTGTGCCGTGTGTGCGTGTGCGTGTGCGTGTGTGTGTGCGTGTGTGTGCGTGTGTGTGCGTGTGTGTGCGTGTGTGTGCGTGTGTGTGCGTGTGTGTGCGTGTGTGTGCGTGTGTGTGCGTGTGCGCGTGTGCGCGTGTGCGCGTGTGCGCGTGCGTGTCAGAACGTAGATCACATGCTCGGTTGCAGCGGTCAATCGTTATTTTCCAAGTATTTGACAAACGTCTGCGCCGTTGGGCCAGGAGATCGAGTCGAATTTGGGTAGCGGCGTGGGCGTCGTTGAGAACCGGCTCGACTCGAGGGTGTACCTGGAAGAGTTGGAGGCTCTTGCCGGCTTACTTGTGCTCTCTGGGAGTTTATTCTTGCACCGAGATGAGTGTGATGTTCTGGCCTGCCACAATATTCAAGCACGCAGGTTTCAGCCAAGAAAGTTTGACGATTCAGGGCCAACCCCACCTAAGAGCCCATCCTTCGCCCATGGCCCATGGCTTGCCCCATTGGCCCAAGCAAGGCCCGGGACGCCTGAAGCGGCCCACACCGCCCCTCTTCGGCTCGGGCGCGTGGTCATGGGGAGTTGACCTGAAGGAGGGGGTGAAGAAGAGGGCCCCTTCAGGGCCCTTCCCTTCACCCCCCATTGAGGTCACCTCCCATGACCACCCGCCCGATCGGCCCCTGTTTGTTCCTGCCTCCGCGGCGCCACGCTGCAATGGCCTCCAGGCCGCGGGCCCTGGTTGCCGTCGAGTGGGAGCTGTCAGGAGAGGTGCTCTGGGCGCTTGGGAGGCGCCGTCGGCAGGTATCGGACGACCGGCTTGCGTTCTCCCTTTATGCTTCTCTGGGAGCCCTCTTGGTTAGGGGGCCACATGCGAACCCTACCCCTACCCCCCACGATTTCTGAGGAGGAGGGTGGGGTTCACTTCGCTCGTGAGCTCGGGAGCTCCCGAACGAAGCGAACCCCACCCTCCCCCTCACAAATCGTGGGGGTTAGGGGTAGGGTTCGCATGTGGCCCCCTGTTGGTGCGATCTCTGGCCGTCTTGGGCCCCTCTGTGCGCCGTCTTGGAACCCTCTCGGGCCGTCCCGGGGCCCTCGCAGGGACCTCTCGAGCAGTTCTCGGGCGGTCCACAGGGCCTCTGGTGGCCGTCTCGGGGCGTCGGAAGCTCGAGGAGACGATGGCCCCAGCAACAGTGAAACTCCCGAGGAACACGATTGATTCCCGGATAGCTCGTAGAGAGTTCAGAGGATTTCAGATTCGAAAGCCGGAGCCGCTGGGTAGCCCGGGAGATCGTTCCGGCGTCGGTCCAGGCTCCCCTGAGCGCCTCGCTTGACGTCGCAGCGTGTCCCTGCAGACCTTTTGTTCAGCGTTTCCCTATACGCGTGCCTGGAAGCTCTCCAGAAGGTCCTTCGGAAGCTCTCTCTGGGTCCTTCCAAAGGTCTTCGCCAGGCCTTTCCACGCCCGTTCAGGCGCCCTGCTACCCGGGTTTTGGACTCCACAAGTGTTTGCCTCTCGGAGCCCTCGTGGGAAGGCTCCCGGGGCGTCTCGAAGGCGCGTTGGCGCGTCTTGGGGCCGTCGCGGCCACGGTTCCGAGGCATCAGCCTAGACGAATGTTATCCCACATTGGGAACACTACATGTCGGCGGCGAGCCAAGGGGGGAAGTGAGAAGGAGAAGGCCTTCTCAGAAGGCGGTGGGACTTCTCAGAAGCCCTCGCACCTTCTGAGAAGTTGTTTTGGTCTTCAGGGAAGGCTTAAAAAACTTCTCAGAAGGCCGGGGGATTTCCGAGCCTTCTGAGAGGGCCTTCTCCTTCTCATTTCCCCCCCTCGCTCGCCGCCGAGCATGAGCTCTTCGAGGGTCCGTTGACCCCTTCTGAACCGTTGACCCCTTCTGAACTCAAACGTCACCGTGAAAACGGCGGGCCGCGCATCCTCGCTCCCCTGAAGATCGACGCACGCAAGGTCCCTTCCAGCACGGGTTGCAAGGCGCCGATTGAAAAGATGCGGTTGGGACGCCTCAGTTGGTTCAGAGAGTGTCTCATTCCGGGCATCATTAGTAACGTTCAGTGGTGTGGCACTCGAGACATGACCGCGGATGGCCACGCTGAGGGCAATATCCATCGCGACGCATTTCTTCAAGTCATGGCAGGCCATCGGGGCCACAAGCAAGAGGTCAAGGCCCAAGCCCCGCATCGAGGCAATCAATCGCATATCGCCAATCCATGATCGCCGTGGCTGCTCACCTGCCTCACTAGACCCCAGCGGTTCGGGGGATTTCACGTGCAGCCGCATTCCGCATAAAGAAGGGCGGGGGAGATTTTTGCGGAGTCACGACCGCTCGCCAGCGGCGCGTTCCCGCGCCAATTTTCGCACCGCGCGGAATCGCGACCGCGTTCAATCTTCTCTGCACAGTTTCGGATCTCACCACCCACCAAACCACCCCAACCCAACCCGAAAGCTCCAATGTTCCCTCCATTTCCAGTGGGGGGGGTGGTCGGGGAACGCTGGAAAACAACACATGGGACCCGTACCCCCCCAACCCGAAGTTCGGGTCCAATTCGGGTCAACTTCGGATCTTCGGGTTGGGTTGGGGTGGTCTGGTAGGTAGTCAGGATCAGCCCTATCACCCTTTCGGCTTTCAGAGCCGCCTCCAGCCCGTCCTCTTCGAGCTGCACCACGCGGCTCGCCTCTGCCCTGCACGCGTTGGCACCAGGCTGCTGGGATCGCGGAGTCGTGGCTCCAGCCCGAGGCATTCCCGTGTTTTTTTCTGCAGCGCGTCAGTGGATGAAGTCTGCAGCTGCCGATCTCGCGCGTGATGCATTGCTTCGGTGGCTGGGTTTGCTGGCTATTGGCCCCTTTGTATGGCGCAGCGCCCCTTGAGTCACATGCAATGGCGGTAGCGGTCAAGCTTCGCCCCCACCCACCCACCTCGTTTCTGTCGAATTCGAAGGAGCGCTTCGAGGGGGGCGATTCCATCGGTCGCTTTGCCCGTCGCCGCGTTGGCTCCAGGCAGCGCAGCCCAATCTGCGTGTGCCGCCTGCGACGCATAACTTGTGGCGGCCCCGAGGTCCCAACCCTCGTTCAATCTGAACGGGCCCAGAAGTTTACCGATTATTGAAGGCTTATGCACCCCACGTGTTGCCATCTTGCGGCCGGTCCAGTCTCATCTACATGGCGCACTCGTTTGTTCTGTGTCTCTACGGTTCGGACGCAATCCTTGACGCCTCGCCCCCCCCAGCGTTTTTGTCACCTGCCGATCGAGCGAACGTTTGGCGAACAAAATTAGGCAGGTGGGCATTTGCACGGGACGATGACAGCAATTAGTTAAGCTTGAGCAGTGTACTCCGAGAGGGTATGTCACCCCATCTTTCTTTTTCCTCCCCTCCATTTTCCCTCCCCGCCAAGGCATCGGTTCTCGAGATGATGCAGAAGCCGGAGTCTGGTGGCAGGCCTTGTATCTGAGGTCACCGTCCCTCCACCCCCCTCGCCGAGAGAACATGGTAAAAATGAGGATGTTGCGCGTGGAGGGGTAGGAGAGGAGCGATGAAGGACAAGGAAGGATAGGCGAGTCTTGTCCGTGTGAGTTTGTTTGCTTGTTATCCTGGATTTGGCGTCCTTTTGAGTTCTTGACGCTTCGCGCATCACCGCCAGCTCATCGGCAAACCATGCACATGCAAGTTGTCAGAATAATGTATGTAGAGAAGCATACAGTGAAACGGAGAGGCCAGCAATAGTCGGCTTGAAACGACATCTGGAAGTCTCTTGGAGGTCTCTTGGAGTTATGCTAGAGCCCTCTTGGGGCCATTCTGGGTGCCTTTGACCCCCCTGGGGCCCTCTTCAGAGCCTTGGAGGCCAGAGTGGAGGACAGCGATCCCAAAAGGAGAAGTTCTTCTTAACCCCCCCCGTCCAAACCAAGAAACACAGTTATTGGAAAGCGTCTCTTGGAGGCGCGTTGGAAATTGCATCGTTCCAACATTGGCCAGATCGTCCACATCGGAGGGCATCTTGGGTGATCTCGGACCCTCCTAGCACCGTCTAGTGCCACAGCGACCCAACTGAAACCTCGCGAAGCCCTGGCCCAGATCCCAAATGACGGGGTATGGCGAGGGGTAAATTCCTCCCCGATGGAGAAGAACGGGGTTGAACGAGCTAATTCCTGAAACCGTCGACGCCCGAAAGGCAAGTGGGACCGTTCTCGATACGGCATGTCGGAGTGAGATGAACATCGAGTTGCGCCTGACATACAACATGATAGAGGGAACCGATTGCGACGTGAAGCAAGCCAGCACAAGATCACGCGCAACAGCAATAAACAGTCTACCCTCACGCGCCATGCTTCTACCTGGCCGCATGCACGCATCATGATGCCCCCCCCCTCCCAGAAAAATTGTGCCGATGCGCCCACACCCAGGTCTCCCGCCCAAGGAGATCGAGCCAACGCCTCTCCCGCGGCACATTCCCAGCTACAGCTTGCACGACACATGAACACAATCCGCGCGACGTTGGGGAGCAATGGGGTTCGAAACACGGAGGATTCGAGCCCCGGGAGCGGGGGCAAGCTGCAGGAACAGACGTAAGGCACAACGGATTCGAGCCCCACTCGAGGCGCAAAACATATATATATATATATATATATATATATATAGATATATATAGGAACGCACGCAAATCACAACATATTCGAGCCGCAGGCGAGAGGTGATCTATATGAACCAACATAAACACAGAGGAACCGATCCCCGGGAGAAGAGCAGTAATGCACAGGAACACGTGTAAAACACTACGTTGGGAAAGGACCCACCCACATACAGCTTTGAGTACCGCGGTTGTGAATATCGTCTTCGGTGGAGTTCCCTATGGGGCCACGAAGCGTGTGAGGGGAGTGCCGAAATGGGCGCGGCGGTGCCATGCGGGCGCTGCCCCTGGGGTCCTCTGTGGAGCTCCCTATGGGGCCACGAAGCGGGGGGGGGCTATGCTGAAATTGGCGCGACGATGCGGGCGCTGGCACGGGGGTCTTCGGTGGAGATCCCTCAGGAGCTACGCAACGTGTGAGGGATGTGCCTAAACTGGTGCGGCGGTGCCATGCGGGCGCTGCCATTGGGGCCGTCAGTGGATATCCCTATGGGGCCACGAAGCGTGTGAGGGTTGTGCCGAAACGTGTACGGCGGTGCCATGCGGGCGCTGTCATGGAGCCGTCGGTGGAGCTTCCTCTGGGGCCACGAAATGCATGTGGATTGTGCCGAAACGGATCCGGCGGTGCCATGCGGGCGCTGCCATTGGGGCTTTCGATGGAGAGCCATATGGAGCCACGCAACGTGTGAAGGGTGTACCGAAACAGGTGCGGTGGTGCCATGCGGGCGTTGCCATTGGAGCCGTCGGTAGAGCTTCCTATGGAGCCACGAACGTGTGAGGGGTGTGCCTAAACTGGCGTGGCGGTGCCATGCGGGCGCTGCCACTCGGGTTTTCAGTGGATCTCGTGTGGGGCTGTCAAACGTGTGAGGGATGTGCCGAAACGGGTGCGGCGGTGCCATGCGGGCGCTGCCGCTGGGGCCTTCGGTGGAGCTCCCTGCGGGGCCACGAGACATGTAAGGGGTGTGCCCACATGGGCGCGCGGCGGTGCCATGCGGGCGCTGGCCACTGGGGCCTTCGGTGGAGCTCCTCGTGGAGCCACGCAACGTGTGAGGGGTGTGCCGAAATGCGCATGCGCAGGGCAGGGGCAGGGATGGGAGGAGAGGGGAGAAGGGGGAAGCAGGAGGAGGAGGAGGAGGAGGAGGAGGAGGAGGCGAAGCGCTGCTGACTCAAAACGAGCACTCAACTCAACGCAGGATGGTTTGGGAACAAAGGGTTCGAGCCCCAGGATCGGGGCCGCGAAGCCAATGGGGGCGAAGCCTACGGGGGGCCAAACAGCACTCCCCGAACACAAAGCCCAAAACAGAAAAGTGCTTCCTGGGGCCTCCTGACCTCTGGAGGCGGGGGGGCCGAAAAATGCTCCCCGAACACAGATTCCAATACGGAGTCAATCTCCTGGCGCCTCCTGGGCTTGGCATCGCTCGGACGTGTGCATTTTTCCTTCGGCGAGGACCATCGAGGAGCATCCTTGATCATTTGAGGAAACAAAACACGCACGAAACCGAACAAAACATAGGGAATGGACGCCCGAGCGATGGACAGTGGGAGCGGAGGGGCCGAAAAGCGCTCGCGAACCTATATCCCAATACAGAAAATGCATCCTGGGGGCGGGAGGGCCGAAACACGCTCCCCGAACACATATTATTGGAGCGTCCGGGTGCCTCTTGAGGCCTCCGCGAGTAGCGGCAAGACTGCTCTGACAGATCCCCCGGTCAAGCGAAGAAGTCTCAAGCGAAGTTGCCGATGTGGCATCCGCGAGTAGCAACAATAATGGTTCGAATGACCCCCTCGTGGCCATGACATGCTAGGAAGTCTCACGCGAAAAGGTAGCAGCAATTTGGTTCACCCGCTCGTGGTGCTATAACGCGCGGAGTTCTCAAACCAGAAAGTCCGTTTCGGCATCCGCGAGTAACAGCAATTTTATTATGAAGGATATTCGTGTTGCTAAATTACCAGGAGGTCTCAGTCGAAACGGCCGATCCAGCATCCGCAAGGAGAGGCAATATTGTTCTGGATGGCTTTTTTGCCCAGCGCTACATTGCAAGGAAGTCTTAGGTGAGAGCGCCCTTCCTGAGGTTCGGGCCCTCTCTGGCCAGGGGCTCTCGCAGTAATTCGTAAGGAAGTATCGCACGGGAGCGTTGTGTTTGTTTGGGGGCCAGTTTGGGGGGATCTCCGAAACGGTTGAGCGCGAGTTGCAATTTCAAAAGAAAGGCAGCCAGCGCCCAGGCGAGAGCGCCAAAGCGAACAGATGGGTTCCAGCAGTATCGTTCAGTAGCGAATGTTCAATCATTTACGGGCGCAGCCCGTAATTCGGTTTACGGGAAGTAGATTAGTTGATTGGTTGATTGACAGAACTGACAATTGAATCACCAACGCCGTTAGATGGCAGTTTTATTTCGGGGGGCGAGGATATTTCGTTGGCCGTTCTAAATCAGGGGGGTGAAGGATGTTTCGCTAGCAGTTCTAGGCAAGGGGTGTAAGGATATTTCTCTGGCAGTTGTAAGCGAGAGTTTAAGCCAGGGCAGTGGGGATATTTTCGCTGACGATTGTAAGGCAGGGGCGTGGGGATATATCGCTGGCAGTTTCAAACAAGGGCGGTGAGGATTCTCCGCTGGCAGTTTTAAGTCAGGGGGCTGAGGATGTTTTACTGGCAGTTTTGAGCGAGGGGTGTGAGGATATTGCGCTGGCAGTTTTAAGTCAGGGCGTTGAGGATACTCCGCTGGCAGCTGAAAGCCAGGGGACCCTGCCTTGCCCGGCCGAAGGCTACACATCCAGCGCGGTGTTGCGCCCGTATATATGTGTTCGCCCTTGGTCTTGGGGCTGGCGGGGGGCCAAGAGGCGAGCTGCCCGTTGTTTTTTAGACTAGTCGCTCGTATCTTCTCCGGTGGCACTTAACAGGTACATCCCAAAAGCCCTCGAACCCCGCCCTCGGGGCACATTTTCCTTACCTGCCACATGTAATTGGCGCAGCCCTTAAAACAGGGGAAGGGAGGGAGGGAATGGGCAAGGGTCGGGCCGAACGAAAGGGGGGGATAGGGAAAGGGGGGATACGAAATCTGCTGCATGCAGCTGTTTTCGGCCCCGCCGCCAGGCCCAGTCCTCGATGCATGGGCGCCTCCCGGCGCCGGGAGACGCTGGGAAAATCAGCTACCTGAGCTGATTCTCTACCCTGTCCTTTATTATCCCCCCTTTCGTTCCCCCCGAAACGGGGAGGGAGAAGGGCGGAGCACGGGAGAGATGAGCAGGAAGGTGTCAGGAGCAGGAGAGCAAGTGGCAGACCCAGACGGGCGGCCCGGGCAGGCGGACCCCAGCAAGGCGGGTCGAACGATGGGCCCAGGTCGACCAGGTCGAGCGGGCGGGTCGTGCAAGCCCCAGTCTCGCATGGATGGCGAGGGAACCGCGAGCGAACGTGGTTCCTAAGCCAACCAGGCGATCGCAGACATGGATAAAGGGGGCGTGGATCAGCAACGGGTCCCGCTTCCACGGGAAAACGCCAATTCCCGCCGCCGAAGGAGGCGGCACCGGCCGAAATTTGGGGAGGGCATTTCCCCCGATCCATGGATTTGGCGACTGCGCGCCAAATCCATGGTTCGCCAATCCATGTTTGCGTGCTCCCGAGTAAACCGTGAGGAAGTCCAGAGCGAGAGCGTGATTCCTGACTGTCAAGGGCGCGGCGTCTCGACAAATTTGGTCTCACGCAGAAGCGCGATCTTTCGGCGATTCGGAACCCTCTTGGACCGTCGCCGAAGGCACGCTGCACGCCCTGGAGAAACGTCCATTTGGAGTATGGGCGCCCGACTACCCATCCACCGAGGGCTTTGGACGGAGAAATC